TGATCACTGTAGCATACTGATCACTGTAGCATACTGATCACTGTAGCATACTGATCACTGTAGCATACTGATCACTGTAGCATACTGATCACTGTAGCATACTGATCACTGTAGCATACTGATCACTGTAACATACTGATCAATGTAACATACTGATCACTGTAACATACTGGTCACTGTAACATACTGATCAATGTAACATACTGATCAATGTGACATGATCAATGTAACATACTGATCAATGTGACATGATCAATGTAACATACTGATCAATGTGACATGATCAATGTAACATACTGATCACTGTAACATACTGATCACTGTAACATACTGATCAATGTAACATACTGATCAATGTGACATGATCAATGTAACATACTGATCAATGTGACATGATCAATGTAACATACTGATCAATGTGACATGATCAATGTAACATACTGATCACTATATCATACAGATTCCTGTAATTTACTGATCACTGTAACATACTGATCACTGTAGCATACTGATCACTGTAACATACTGATCACTGTAGCATACTGATCACTGTAGCATACTGATCACTGTAGCATACTGATAACTGTAACATACTGATCACTGTAGCATACTGATCACTGTAACATACTGGTCACTGTAACATACTGATCAATGTAACATACTGATCAATGTGACATGATCAATGTAACATACTGATCAATGTGACATGATCAATGTAACATACTGATCAATGTGACATACTGATCAATGTGACATGATCAATGTAACATACTGATCACTGTAACATACTGATCAATGTAACATACTGATCAATGTGACATGATCAATGTAACATACTGATCAATGTGACATGATCAATGTAAACATACTGATCAATGTGACATGATCAATGTAACATACTGATCAATGTGACATGATCAATGTAACATACTGATCACTATAGCATACAGATTCCTGTAGCATACTGATCACTGTAGCATACTGATCACTGTAGCATACTGATCACTGTAGCATACTGATCACTGTAGCATACTGATCACTGTAGCATACTGATCACTGTAGCATACTGATCACTGTAGCATACTGATCACTGTAGCATACTGATCACTGTAGCATACTGATCACTGTAGCATACTGATCACTGTAGCATACTGATCACTGTAGCATACTGATCACTGTAGCATACTGATCACTGTAGCATACTGATCACTGTAGCATACTGATCACTGTAGCATACTGATCACTGTAGCATACTGATCACTGTAGCATACTGATCACTGTAGCATACTGATCACTGTAGCATACTGATCACTGTAGCATACTGATCACTGTAGCATACTGATCACTGTAGCATACTGATCACTGTAGCATACTGATCACTGTAGCATACTGATCACTGTAGCATACTGATCACTGTAGCATACTGATCACTGTAGCATACTGATCACTGTAGCATACTGATCACTGTAGCATACTGATCACTGTAGCATACTGATCACTGTAGCATACTGATCACTGTAGCATACTGATCACTGTAGCATACTGATCACTGTAGCATACTGATCACTGTAGCATACTGATCACTGTAGCATACTGATCACTGTAGCATACTGATCACTGTAGCATACTGATCACTGTAGCATACTGATCACTGTAGCATACTGATCACTGTAGCATACTGATCACTGTAGCATACTGATCACTGTAGCATACTGATCACTGTAGCATACTGATCACTGTAGCATACTGATCACTGTAGCATACTGATCACTGTAGCATACTGATCACTGTAGCATACTGATCACTGTAGCATACTGATCACTGTAGCATACTGATCACTGTAGCATACTGATCACTGTAGCATACTGATCACTGTAGCATACTGATCACTGTAACATACTGATCACTGTAACATACTGATCACTGTAACATACTGATCACTGTAACATACTGATCAATGTAACATACTGATCAATGTGACATGATCAATGTAACATACTGATCAATGTGACATGATCAATGTAACATACTGATCAATGTGACATGATCAATGTAAACATACTGATCAATGTGACATGATCAATGTAACATACTGATCAATGTGACATGATCAATGTAACATACTGATCACTATATCATACAGATTCCTGTAATTTACTGATCACTGTAACATACTGATCACTGTAGCATACTGATCACTGTAGCATACTGATCACTGTAGCATACTGATAACTGTAACATACTGATCACTGTAGCATACTGATCACTGTAACATACTGGTCACTGTAACATACTGATCAATGTAACATACTGATCAATGTGACATGATCAATGTAACATACTGATCAATGTGACATGATCAATGTAACATACTGATCAATGTGACATGATCAATGTAACATACTGATCACTGTAACATACTGATCACTGTAACATACTGATCAATGTAACATACTGATCAATGTGACATGATCAATGTAACATACTGATCAATGTGACATGATCAATGTAAACATACTGATCAATGTGACATGATCAATGTAACATACTGATCAATGTGACATGATCAATGTAACATACTGATCACTATATCATACAGATTCCTGTAATTTACTGATCACTGTAACATACTGATCAATGTGACATGATCAATGTAACATACTGATCACTATATCATACAGATTCCTGTAATTTACTGATCACTGTAACATACTGATCACTGTAGCATACTGATCACTGTAGCATACTGATCACTGTAACATACTGATCACTGTAACATACTGATCACTGTAACATACTGATCACTGTAACATACTGATCAATGTAACATACTGATCAATGTGACATGATCAATGTAACATACTGATCAATGTGACATGATCAATGTAACATACTGATCAATGTGACATGATCAATGTAACATACTGATCACTATATCATACAGATTCCTGTAATTTACTGATCACTGTAACATACTGATCACTGTAGCATACTGATCACTGTAGCATACTGATCACTGTAGCATACTGATCACTGTAACATACTGATCACTGTAACATACTGATCACTGCAACATATGATCACTGCACATACTGATCGCTGTAATATATACTGACCACTGTAACATACTAACCACTGTAACATACTGACCACTGTAACATACTGACCACTGTAACATACAGACCACTGTAAATGTATGATTACTGTAACAAACCTTTTTTTGCATTGTAAGGAAGTTCTCCTCCATTAACTGGAAAATAAACCAACAAAGATCAAAATTCTTTTCTTTTTTCTTTAATAATAACGATCTATACACACAACTGTTCTATAATAACGATCTATGCACACAACTGTTCTATAATAACAATCTATACACACAACTGTTCTACAAGAACGAAGGTCAAAATAATAAAAACACACCTGTATTGAAAATGATTGTTAAAATTAGCATCATCGTACAGAATGAGCTGAAAAGACAAAACTTGCTGGCATCATTGCTAGTGAACCTCTGTTCCAACGTCTATTTAAAAGACATTGTGATTATGATTTCACAAGAAGAAACCTAATGAATTAAGCTACTACTTACTTGAACTCGAGCAGCTTTTAAATCATCCACAGATTTCTTTAACTTCATGATGTCAGCATCTGGAGAAAACAATGAAAACAATTGCAACATAATATTGAAAACCTGAAGAGATTAAGTCCCACAGCCTGAATGAAGAGATTAAGTCCCACAGGCCGACTGAAGAGATTAAGTCCCATAGCCTGACTGAAGAGATTAAGTCCAACAGCCTGAATGAAGAGATTAATTCCCACAGCCTGACTGAAAAGATTAAGTCCCACAGCCCCACTGAAGAGATTAAGTCCCATAGCCTGACTGAAGAGATTAAGTTCCCACAGCCTGACTGAAGAGATTAAGTCCCACAGCCTGAATGAACAGATTAAGTCATATAACCTGACTGAAGAGATAAAGTCCCATGACCTGACTAAAGAGATTAAGTCCAACTACCTGACTGAATGGATCAAGTCCCATAACCTAACTGAAGAAATTAAGTCCCACAATTTGAATGAAGAGCTCAAGTCCAAAAACCTGACTGAAAATATGAAGTACCACAGGTAGTGAAGAGATTAATTCCCACAACCTCGCTGAAGAGAATAAGTCTCACAGCCTGACTTAAGAGATTAAGTCCCATTACCTGACTGAAGAGATTAAGTCCACAACCTGGCTGAAGAGATTAAGACCTAAAGCATGACTAAAGAGATTAACTCCCATAACCTGATTGAAGAGATTAAGTCACATAACCTGACTGAAGAGATTAAGTCACATAACCTGACTGAAGAGATTAAGTCCACAGTCTGAATGAAGAGATTAAGTCCTACAGCCTGACTGAAGAGCTAAAGTCCAACAACCTGACTGAAGATATTAAGTCCCATAACCTAAATGAAAAGATTTATTCCCATAGCATGACTGAAGAGATTAAGTCTCCTACAGCCTGAATGAAGAGATTAGGTCCCATAATTTTCAAACAAATTTGTACTTTTGAAGTCCAAAAGAATTAATTAATTTAGCCATTAACATTTTCTGCGAAAAATTGTTTGAATTGTTCTCATCCTAAAATTAATTTACATGTCCATTTTAGCAGGTAAATAAGAATTATACTCACAGTTTATGCTTTCCGCTTTGGTCATCAGTTTGGCAAGTCCTTCATGTCCAATAATCTGAGAAAATATCTGCTTTGCAGATTTCTTTTTATTTCCAGACGCAGATGATATTTGTGGTGTTCCATTTTTATTTGCTTTTGTGCCAGGAGGAGGTACTTTTTTCGTGTTGTTAAACCTTGATTGAATAACAGTGTTTACGTCAAAAGGAGGAGTGACCTTAAGATTCCGATATTTTCATTTGGTTGAAATGAGAGGTTTTGAATATCCCCGCTAATATTGTTTCATTAAAACATACTCAATTCTTAAAAACTTTTGAAAAATCTGTTCTTTTTTTTTTTTTACCTCTGTCTTGCATACTCCTCTAATATTCTCTTGGCTTCTGGGTATTCAGTAAGTGCCTGAAAAAAATTAATCAAAGGAGACTTGAGGAAAAATCAATAATTTAATTTTACTTGCTAGCTCTAATGCTGCTTTTGTTTGTCTTGGTTTACAAATGAGTGCGATTGCAATCGGGTTCTGTTCATTAAAAGTTTTTAAATTCTGATGAATTCATTATAAAATTATTTTTAAAGATTATTTACCAACCCCACCAGGCGAATTTGGTTACAGCACTGATATTTTTTGTAACACAGTATTAGCTGTGATCAATTATGGTCTTTAAACACAAGAAGCACTCTATAATTTAATAAAATCTCTACTTTAAATTGTTACAGAATTCACAAAATAGTGAATTGTTATTGCAATCAATATAAAAAAAATTATGTTGATAACCTTTACAGAAATAGGTCAATATCTGGGCTTCTAACAAAGATTATTGATGACTCACAGCCATAAGGTCACGCCGAGAAAGACATAACAGCTCAGAGAATCCAATTGATCTGACATCTGCAGTACGCCTGGTAAAAGACATTAAAAAATGTTTCAGTTTCTATAACCACTCATTTGGGGATCTTATGTACCAAACAACTCTCCTACAAAACAAGGCACTCAAATAAAATACAAATACTAACATTTTTTAATCCACGCATATTAAGGTCAATGAAATTAATTTGGCTGCTTAGATTACTTAATGAGCAAAGTTTCCTATTTTTGTAATTGCCACTTTTTTTAATGAAATATCTTTTCGGTAACAGTTTTTCTTCATATTTTTCTCTTTATTTCAGTCTGCATGGCAAAGTCAGAGATTTCCAAATTGAGGCCAGTAGGCACACTCTTAGTCTTGAAGAGAAAGCACAAGTAACATCTATATCAGGGGTCAGAAACCTATGGCTCGCGAGCCAGATATGGCTCTATTAATGACTTCAAATGGCTTGCAGACAAATGTTCGATTATTAAAAAAAAGTCACATTAATGGTAAGAAATACTCATTATTGAATAGCAACAGCAGAACAATGTTATAAAAAAATTCAGAGACATAATTATTGCATTTTTAGTGTTGAAATTACACAAAATGCACACATTTACTTGAATTTTTAGTTTTAAACATCATGTATGGCTCTCACAGAATTACTTTTCAAACTATGTGGTGTCCATGGCTCTCTCAGGTGTCCATGGCTCTCTTAGACAAAAAGGTTCCCGACCCCTGATCTATATTAATATCTGGAATGTGGAACTTTAATCAGTTAGTAACTAAGGAACATTTCTTGCACTCTAACAAATACAAGATATTTTGTTAGTGTACTTGGCATATTATCACACAACTATCTGAGCAATCATGTCTGACAACATTTTAATTTATAAAGGACAGTTTGTAAAAAAAAAAATATACAAATATACCAAGAAAAAACAGAATTACATTTTGTTATTAAATTTTAGTGTCTAGGCAACGTACATTACCAAATGATTGTTTAGTATGATTGTCCAAATGTATAATTGATTTGACTTGTTTTGACCATCATCTACTTTAAGCATGATTGTCCACACGTATAATTAATCTTACTTGTTTTGACCAGCATCTACTTTAAGCATGATTGTCCACACGTATAATTAATCTTACTTGTTTTGACCAGCATCTACTTTAAGCATGATTGTCCACACGTATAATTAATCTTACTTGTTTTGACCAGCATCTACTTTAAGCAAACTGATTTCGCCAAAGAAATTCCCTGGGTTCATCACAGCCACCTGCTGCATGCCGCCTGTCTCAGAGTCTGGGAACAATATTTCCACTTTCCCGTGGTTGATAATATACATCTCACGTCCTTGATTGGGAGATGCCATGAATTATATATATACGTATACATTTTTATACACATCATATGTATTATCACAAAACACAATTTGAAAATCTTACAAGATAATTTCTAATGAATATGTGTTCCCACCTGGATAACCTTTGTGCAATTCTAGGGCAAGCAATAATGTACAATAAAATATGTTCATTTCAACCTTTGGCTCATGTACAATAAAATATGTTCATTTCAACCTTTGGCTCATGTACAATAAAATATGTTCATTTCAACCTTTGGCTAATGTACAATAAAATATGTTCATTTCAACCTTTGGCTCATGTACAATAAAATATGTTCATTTCAACCTTTGGCTCATGTACAATAAAATATGTTCATTTCAACCTTTGGCTCATGTACAATAAAATATGTTCATTTCAACCTTTGGCTCATGTACAATAAAATATGTTCATTTCAACCTTTGGCTCATGTACAATAAAATATGTTCATTTCAACCTTTGGCTCATGTACAATAAAATATGTTCATTTCAACCTTTGGCTCATGTACAATAAAATATGTTCATTTCAACCTTTGGCTCATGTCAATAAAATATGTTCATTTCAATCTTTGGCTCATGTACAATAAAATATGTTCATTTCAACCTTTGGCTCATGTACAATAAAATATGTTCATTTCAACCTTTGGCTCATGTACAATAAAATATGTTCATTTCAACCTTTGGCTCATGTACAATAAAATATGTTCATTTCAACCTTTGGCTCATGTACAATAAAATATGTTCATTTCAACCTTTGGCTCATGTACAATAAAATATGTTCATTTCAACCTTTGGCTTATGGAAATAGATCAATTTAAAAAAAAGGTTTAACAAAATAATGCAATAAAAAAATCATAGCAACATAATGCTTCAGCTTTAAACTTGAATTATATTTAATAATACTAGTCCTTATAATGCTAGGCAATATAATGCTAGTCAATATAATACTAGTCCTTTTAATGCTAGGCAATATAATGCTAGGCAATATAATACTAGTCATTATAATACTAGTCATTATAACACAAGTCAATATAACGCTAGTCAATATAACGCTAGTCAATATAACGCTAGTCAATATAACACTAGTCAATATAACACTAGTCAATATAATACTAGTCAATATAACACTAGTCAATATAACACTAGTCAACTTCACACTCACAAACTTATTACCTATCTCTCCGATGCGACAAATGTAATCCCCGGGGGAAAATATCTGAGGTTTCAATTTGAGCACCAACTCTCTGAGCAGACCTTCTTCACACTCATCAAAAATAGAGACCTGAAATAAATTGATTGCGGCGTCTTCAACTTGGTGGTTTGAAAAGAGAAAAAAAAACAGTAGTAAGTAATTTGACAACATTTCCAAGTGTGCACACCTTTTTTAATGTTTCCAAATGAACATAAATTGCAACTTCTGTCCTGAGTCTATCTGGTAAAAACTGCAAGACATTTGCTTCATCTATGGCCATTGTTCTGTTGATAAAATTAGGAAAATATTTCAATGACAATGCCTCAAAGTGGAAACAGCCAAATTAAAATGCAATGAATAAAACTGGAGAAGCTGTGGAGGAAGCTCTTGTTAAACACTTCATTCTAAGGTTGATATTTGTTGCCTGGCTGAATGGGTGAAAATCCTAGAGGAGTCAGCTTCACTTATTTTACATACAACAAATCAACAAACCAGTTATCAATGAAATGAATCAAACTCTTTGTTAAAAAAAAAAAAAAATCGGCCATCAACCTTTTTCATAAAACGGCAACTATAAAAAGTTGCTAAATTTAAGTTTTAAATCTTGAAATAGTCATAGCAGTAATATCAATGCAGGGAAGCAAATCTTGATTATCATACACCACTTAAAAAACTCAAAACCATGAACAATTAAATGTACCTGCTCCATGTGTACTCTGCCCAGCGCTTGATGTGGTTCTGCATGTGATCAGGTACTTTCCTATGGTCCAAATAAAATTTGATTTGATCCATTCTAAAAAAGACAAAAGGAGAGAAATCATTTACTAAAACACTTCCAATAGCTTTCCAATGCAATTCATGACTTGCTGGATTACAAGTGTACTTGCTTTTAAATCATTTACTAAAACACTTCCAATAGCTTTCCAATGCAATTCATGACCTGCTGGAATACATGTGTACTAGCTGTTAAATCATTTACTAAAACACTTCCAATAGCTTTCCAATGCAATTCATGACCTGCTGGAATACATGTGTACTAGCTGTTAAATCATTTCACCTTGCTTGAAAATCTCTCCTGGCTGCATTCATGTTGCTAATGACGTCACCAACATTGCCCACCACAGCGGCAAACACAAAGACTCCAATAAGGAAAGTGAACCCAGTAAACACGTATTCCTAAGGAAGACAATTACTTCGTGATTTACAAAACTGAAGGATCTAACAAATGCTCTTCTTTCTAACAACATCAGAGCGCTTCCTGTTCTGAACTTTGACTCTTTTAAGATCTTCTAAAAAAATTTAATTCAAATCTGTCCATTGTTTATTGTATTGTAATGCCTGCAGAAGAAGGCATCTAGCCGAAAAGTCAGATTAATGGCATTTTATTTTATTTTCAAGCCTACACATATCTTGTTCCGCTATGCTTCTCTTCATAGCTGTGTGTATTGTAACATCATAACTGAAGAAAAACAGTTTAATATAAATTTACTCTCAGTTTTTTCATTGTTTTCATAGCAGGCCTACTTAGATGTGGATACTCACAAGTTCAGTAGTTGGTGGAGGCCTTTCCCCTATGGTAGTCAGAGTCATGGTTGACCAAAACAAACAAAAGATGTATTTTCTAGCACACACAAAAAAACAAGTAAATCAATATCTCCAATCTCCATGTATAAATAATCAAAATTCATTTTCTATTGGCTTGATTCAATACAGCATTAAAAACTACTGGTAACAGTAAAGAAATTAATAAAACTGTTCTTCCTAGTTCCATTTCTTTTCTTCCAAACTTTAATGGACAAACTTGCAAAAGAAATGGTTTATGCTTAATAATAACCAGAAGGTTTTAATTTATTAGCCAGCGCCAGCCACTAGAAACATGTGTCAAGTAGTTTGCCAAGTTGGAGTGCATAGAAACATGTGTCAAGTAGTTTGCCAAGTTGGAGTGCATAGAAACATGTGTCAAGTCGTTTGCCAAGTTGGAGTGCATAGAAACATGTGTCAAGTAGTTGGCCAAGTTGGAGTGCATAAGAAAATAAAAGATGAGAATCCTCTATGGCAGTGGTCCCCAACCCCTGGGCCGGTACCGGTGCGTGGATCCAATGGGACCGGGCCGCCCAAGAAACATTAAATTATTTCCATTGTATTTACTGTGCCGGGATGTATTTCTTGTACACAGAAATAAGATGGTTATCCAGAGGAAAATCTCTAACCAGAATTTTTGAATTACGAGAGCCATTGCAAAGATTTCTCTCAGAAAAGAAGTCACCGCTGGCAGCACCTTTCAGTGACAAGGTATGGGTCACAAAACTGGCTGTGACCTGTGTGACATATTCAGCCTGCTCAATGAACTCAATCTGTCCCTTAAAGGGAAAATGACAGCTTTTTTCAAGTTGGCAGACAAAGTAGCTGCATTTAAAGTCAAACTGGAGTTGTGGGGACGGTGTGTGAATAGAGACATTTTGGACATGTTTCAAACATAGCGGGGATTTTAGGCAAAACTGAGCCTGAGCATTCATTCTCCCAGTTGGTGCACGATCACCTGTCTTTGATTTTAAAAGAGTTTGAGCGCTACTTCCCAACTTCAAAAGACCAACAAACTGGTAAGTAATGGATCTGCAACCTCTTCGTCAACAAACCAGGCGAATCCAGCATGTCTGTGCCAGAAGAAGATCAACTGCTGGAGATTGCAAATGATTGCGACCTTAAAACTACGTTCAAGACTACTCTGCTGGTGTTTTAAACCAAAACAAAACAAGGGAAAAAACTGGACACAAGGAACACACTTCGGGTGTCATTGCCTCCTTTTACCCCTAGATGGAACAGTCTCTTTGCAGAGAAATAAGCTCATTGATTTAGCATTCCAGAAAATGTTAAATATGTTAAATCCCTTTATATTCATTTTTTGGTGTAACTGTATTTTATTTTGGAGGAATGTTTAAATACAATTAAAATGATTAAATCAAAACAATCTAAAATATAAACAATCAACGTTCTCCCCCCTCCCCACCACAGTGGGCCGCGGTACGATTATCAAACATTGACCCGTCCGCGGAGATAGAAAGATTGGGGACCACTGCTCTATTGGGGCATTACTGATAATGGCAGATGATATAACAACCACTTGTGAAGTTTCAGAAAGGGAAAGGGATGAAGAAAAATGGTAGGTTATCTTGTATATCTTTATGTTAACAAATGCAGTGATGGAAGTCTCATAGAGAAGTGATGGAAGTCTCAGACAGAAGTGATGGAAGTCTCACACAGAAGTGATGGAAGTCTCAGACAGAAGTGATGGAGGTCTCAGTCAGAAGTGATAGAGTTCTCAGACAGAAGTGATGGAAGTCTCATACAGAAGTGATGGAAGTCTCAGACAGAAGTGATGGAGGTCTCAGACAGAAGTGATTGGCTTTACTTATTTTTACTATTTATTTTAATGTCATGATTATGTCTCTTTTGATAAAATTTTTATGTACAGCGTGGTGAGCCCAGCCCTAGGCTGGGGGTACCGTGCTATATAAGACGTCTTATTATTATTATTATTACTCTACTTGATCCTGTGAATTGACACAATCCTTTGTACTCACCTTGAAAATGTCGTCAAGTTCGGTTCTGATGGATACACCCACTCATTAACTCCAAGCCCTTCATACTGACGATGAAATATAAAGGTTTTAACAAGCCCTTAATACTGACAATGAAATATAAAGGTTTTTACAGGCGCTTCATACTGACAATGAAACAAGGTTTTAACAAGCCCTTCATACTGACAATGAAACAAAGGTTTTAACAAGCCCTTCATACTGACAATGAAACAAAGGTTTTAACAAGCCCTTCATACTGACAATGAAATATCAAGGTTTATATAGGTTTCAAACGTGAAGTTTAACTGGAGCTGTCTGGTAATATTTTGTTTTAAATGTTCACATGAGTAAAGAGAAAAGGTTAGGTTATATTTTTATGTCTGTATTAAACCAAATATCATTAGTTTAAACCACAAAACAAATGAACTTATCCCAACGTTTCAATCCCATGTCTGTGCTTTTTAAATTGTAATTTGAAACATAGAACACAAACAAAACTGAACAAAACATTTGTATTAACATGAAGCCATTGCTCTTGTAATCATGAAAGAAAAACACTCAAGTCCTAACCTCAGACAACATGTAGTACAGACAGGCTGACCAGTGAATGACCACACCAAGGTGGAAACTTACCTCAGACAACATGTAGTACAGACAGGCTATCCAGTGAATGACCACACCAAGGTGAAGACTTAGCTTGAAAGCTCTCAATAAATTAGGTTTGTTGGTTCGGCTGACAAAAAAAAGTTAACTAATTTATGTAATAAATGAAAATCAATTCTAGATCAACACTTCTTTATAAATTATGGAAGAAATGACACGGATTAAATGTAAATCACACTGATTAAATTTAAATAACATGGATTAAACGTAAATGACACAAATCAAATGTAAATGCACAAATTAAATGTAAATGACATGGATTAAATGTAAATGACAGATTAAATGTAAATGACATTGATTAAATGTAAATGACACTGATTAAACATTTAACATAAAATAATTTTTTTTTTATAAATTCTATTATTTGAAGTCATTGGAGATCTCTGCAGGGTCAGATAATACTGCTTAGTTACTAAACGAACCTTTCAGTTTTGTGGAAGAAACTTTCCATCGAGTGACATTTCAACAGTCTATTCAGTCTCAAAACTGGCCGGTACACATTGACTGGAAACAATAAAACAATCATTCACCTATAAATTCTTTACCAGTAGAGAATTTGTAATATCTGAAGGGCACATTGGTTTGGTTTAAGGCGAAAAGTTCTACAGATAAGAGAAAGCCACCTACCATATCTGACAAGTGTAGAGTTGTCTAGAAATTCAAAGATGACAGAAAAATCTGTATAAAAAAAAAAAATGTCTCAATTTGATCACGGATATGTTGAACAATTTTACAAGCCAAAATAACATGATATGTCCTCTTGTTGCAGAAGACATACAATTGATTAGATGTTGTACAGGGACACATAAAATGATGTTTGATCATTAGAGATCTTAAATGTCTTTATTAAAAATCAAATTCATTAAATTTTTAATGACCAAAACAGTAACTGACAGACATAAGTACACATACTGACAGACATAAGTACACATTTTTGTCTTATAAAACAGTATTCTCATTTCTCTGAATGCTATTTGAATGTGTGAATGTGTAACAAATCTTACATTTCAGTTTGAAATTTTATATTTCCCTCATTCCAGAAAGGCTTAACATTATATTTCTCTAATGAATGTCATGCCTTTTTCATGACTATCCTGCCTGCTACCATAATGACTTACATGCTATTTGTTCAACAATGCTAAATACAGGACAGATGGAAATGATGTCGTAAACAAACTGAGGCTTTCCTGTATAATGATGCCATGTCTCCTTGAACCCTGTGACCTTAACACAAAGTTCAAATAATAAAGCTAAATTTTAACAATTCTTAGAGCTTTAAAAATTTTAGTAAGAAATTGCTTGTAATCAATAACTTGTGACATTAGACATGTACCGATATGTAATTTTTTTTTAAAGTTGAATTTTAAAAGAACTGAATTCTATGACTTTAATATGTGACTAAAACTGACAGTCGGGACAAAAAAGAAACACTTCTGATGCTTTTGCCTAGTCACAGAGTAATCAAGTAATATAACATATTTGTACAGTTCTATTTAATGTCCTCATAGTTCAAGAGAAGAAATCCACCTACCGAACAGCCGTTAGAGAGAAAGGAAGTTTTCGACTCAAAGAAGATGTCACAGAGGTAAATGATGTCACTTAATAGATCAAGAGTAACAAAATTAGCCTGAAATTAGAAATGATGAAATTATGTTGTCGGGTTCTTGGTGACACTGTTTATGGCACTCTCAATTTGTGATTTTATCCATATTCATTACCCCAGGGAAGAATGGGCAAAGCTTATTTTGGGCATTGAATTAATTGTTCCGTCAACTCAGAATGGCCATTCTTTTCCCCTTGTCAATATTACATGGGTTCAGATTTTCCCCCTTGTAAATATTACATGGGTTCAGATTTTCCCCCTTGTAAATATTACATGGGTTCAGATTTTCCCCATAAAATATTCACTGATAGTTTGTGAAAATAGATATATCATATGATGAGACATGAAAAGTAGCTTGACAGGATTTGTTGTGATGATGTAACTACCTCATTCCTCATCTCAGTGTAAGATGTCTGTAAGATGACGACTACTGTGTTATAAACCATGGCCATGGTTACTGTTGCCTGAAAGATAGCGGGGAAAGGAAAGAGCAATGAAAAAAAAAAGCTCTATTGTCACCATAAAATATAAAAAAATTAATTTCAAATGATAATGTTTAACATTTCAAAATCTTTCATTTCTGTTAATAAATGTGTTTATGTTATGTGTTTATGTAATGTGTTTATGACTATATTCTCAATAGTTTCCTTAGGATTGTGGTGCCTTGATTTTCATGGTTTCTTGTGTCATAGTTTCAATACAGCATGGCAAAGTCGTTTTGAGTTTACACTAAAATTTCAGAATAGGCAGTAATTTTTTTGAATTAAATTTTTTAAGGCATATTTCATGACATAATAGCTTTTAAGTAGACACAACCGTATTATGTAAGGATTCGCACAGCACATTTGTGACTCCCTGTGCCAATTGAGAAAACCAAGTAAGTCAAGAAGTTTTATTTTTTTGTCGTTTTGATTTATCAATTAAATGTTTGTAATAGTTATGAATTCAATAACACATGGATAATGCTATTACCTTCCAATAAAAAGAAAATGAACTATCTGGGTCTATGGAACCATATGTCAACCACCTAAATCTCTCATAGTGCTGGGAAATAAAGACCAACATTAAGTCCTTAAAGATGAAAGACATTACTGCTGAAAAGAAGTTTGTGGTAAAAATATATTCATTTTCAAAATGGATTAAAAAAATTTAATTATGTATGTAGGTAGTGATTTCCGAGCATTCACAATTTTAAAAAAATTTTAAGTAGTCCATAAGGGAAAAGTGTGACCCGCAGTTTTAACATGTTAAAACTGTTAGGGTCAAGAAAGAAAATGATGGTGAGTTAATCGGAACAAAATCTTGTTTTATGCCTGATAGATCTCTAATTCTTTTTTAAAATCTGAATCGCATTGAAATGCAATTCTAAAAATGTGACAAGGTGTAAATCATTGTGGTGACACAATTAAAAGGAACTAATAACTTCATCATTTTTATCATGATACAGTCTTATGTATTTATATACTCAATCCACATTTGTTTAGTAATTTGGCAACAATTACAAAGTCGTTCTTCCCACAGCCACAACTTTCTACAGCCAGAACGTAGGAGGAGGGAGTATGAAGAAATTGGGCGTTATACAAGGGGGTGTAGGAAAAAGGGGGGTGTATGATGAGTTGGGTTAAGGGGGTGGGGGTGCAGAACTTATTTTGGGGTGGAATTTTGGACCCACTTCATCTTTCTACAGACTAATTTTTATCTGTGTTCTGTAGAACTATTCATAATGGTTTTCGTTAAATAGGGCTAGTGAAATCAAGGAATGCCCCTGGCGTCACAAACTCTTAGCTACTCCAATCATCAATGGTTCTTTCAATCTCGTATCTTGCCCTCTATTCAAGTAACCAACCTGATGATGATGATGATGCTCTTACTCAATAGTCATGCTTTCTTAATTTTTGGATTATGAATAATGTAAAGTTAAAAGCAGAGAAAGTTGAAAAAGAGTTATAAGTACCACTATGTCTGCATCTGGAATTGATGGATTGCTTTCAAATGATCGCGTCATTGATGAAATGACATCGTCGGACAGCGCAGCGTCATACTTCATCATCGGTGATGTGATTCCTGGATCCTGGCCCCGGAACTTGCCAGGCAACATCCGGATTTTTGTAGCAATCATGGGCGAGGTGCCATTCTCTTTCCTTAATGCAATATAGAGTTTTGATATTATGAATCTGCTAGTGAAAAGTTGACATGGAAAGCCATTTTAACTAGTGGGTGATCCATCATTGACATCTCGCATCTAGTGGGAAGGGGACGTCATGTATTGATATTATCTATCATGAGGGTGTTTAAATATTTTTATAAATGTGATGATGTAATGGGCGGGGGGGGGTGTTTACAAATTCGGCCACTACAGTGTGACGTCATTTAAGGAAGCACCTTGTGTTAAGTACCTGGCAAGCAAACTGTTTTTAATGCAATTTATTTTAAAAAAATTTTTTTAATCCACTACAATTAGCCTACCACTTAATGAAAGCTTACATTTTACACTACAATTAGCCTGCCACTAAATGAAAGCTTACATTGCATACTTCAATTAGCCTACCAATTAAAGAAAGCCTACATTTCATGAAAGACACCAGCAGCTATTTACGTAATAAAAATAAATATTTGACTTACACAGTTGTTCCCGCTACCTTGTCATTTTCTCCGACCACCTCATCAACATCATCTTCCTCTTCATCAGAACTTTCATTCTAGGAGCAAACAATTATAACTCACTTATATACGATCCATTTAGTATTACATGATAGAAATTCATTTGTATATAGAGGTCGAAATTCTCTATAGATACAATATTATTGAAATAGCGTTACCCTTCTAGATGGTATGCCATACAGTGAGCTGGAGGAGTCCCGCTTGGTTGAACCCATCATTCCCAAAGCTTTCCTCCTTGAACCAGCGCTGATGGTCCTGACCAGGATCGTGCTAGTCATAAGTAGGCCAGATGTTGGGATTCTGCTAGAAGGACCACATCAAATAAATGGCATTAAGTCTTGGAATATCAGTCATAATAACAAGTTACAGAATTTAAGTGAGATTTCATTCTTGATTAGGTTACACATAGCTTTCAGACATCAAGGTAGTATTGGCTCAAGGAATCACAAACATGATTTGGCTCTGTCTCGGTCCTAGTGTAAAATAAACTTTTAAGAAGCCCATTAACAGCATGATGAATTCTTGGCTCACATGATATTCGCCCATCAACCCATCCTCCCTCCTCTTTCAATCCTTGCATCATCTCTATGCCATTCCAACATAACCCTTTTCCCACCTCTACCCCTGCCCCCCTTCCTATTTAACCACATCTCAATTTTTACTCTCACTCTATCCCAAACTCTTCCGCACGCTTCCATCGTCTTACAACGACCCTAATTAAAGGTGAGTTATTGAATGCATATAATTAAATTAGGCGCTATATTTCTTTCAATAAGACAGTTATAGCCAGTGTGTTGACCTAGTTTGGGATGTGGCATGTACACTTAACCCCCCCCCCCCCCCGGCCATCTTTACAGCTAGGGAGGCTCTGGGCACAGTAATAAACTGAGGTCCCTAAACCCTCTAAATATTCAGTGTAGGGGGAAAAGGGTCAATCACCCCCTGGCGCAAATATAAGGGGGCGGCAAAATCGTCTTAAGGTAGGCCCTTAATACTGAATTTAACCATAAAATCCCATATTCTTCACATAGACGGGAAGCAAAACCGTCTTACTATTCTGCCCTGGGCACCACTTTTCCTGGGAATAGCTGTCTGTCTATAGCCCACAATTCAAGTAATGCTTTGAATAGTATTATGGCATAGGTTGGCCTTTGCGTTTTGACCAGTTTCTTTCAGGTAATTTTTTCCGTGGGGGTAGTATTTCAGGTGTTTGGGGGAGGGTAGCA